TGCACAATCCCCTATAATATGTAAAAAGTAATAACAGTTTTGTATAGATAAAAGGAACTAGTTTGCAGAGTGTACTCACATTTGCAGTGGTCTACACAGATATGTGAGTCTCTGTTTGCTCTGGTTTTGTTGTCTGGACAAAAACAACCTGCAATAGTATCTGTCACAGCCTCTCCTTCCTGTCTATTTCTGAAAGAAAAAAAAAACAAGAGCACTGTTACAATGTAGAATTAGAATTAGTCAAGGAGGAGTCAAACTAAAGTACACATTTCTTTAAAAAAGTTAATTAATGTAAATGTAACTGGAATGAATATTACCCACTTCAAATTTCTACATTAAAGTCTGTGTAGCATAAACAATGACTAACCCTTCAAAGCAGAAATCATCCAGTTTAGGACTACATTCTTTATAAACTAGTCCATCTGAGCAGTTTGAGCCTGAAAAAGATAAGCACAGTTTAAACTTAAACCAAATATTTAGTAGGTACAAGTCAAGCAAAAGTAGAAATTCTCTTTACCACAGCTTCCTTTGGCGTGCTGTCTCCAGTCGACACAGAAACCCACTTTTTTACAGGCATCTGCAGCTTTCTCCAAAGAGGAACAGGGAGCAGCAGAGCCACAGGCGTCAAACTGACAGTTCTTAAAGAACTGCTCTAGATCCACGTGTTCACGGCACTGTGCAAAGAGCCTAAAACACAACACATATCTCAGTACAGAGATGTTGTCATCTCACATAAAGATTCTGTTTTGAGGAGAGAACACTATTTTAATTTGGTTTAAAACTCAAAAAATTCCATTTTACAGAATATGTCCCCGTTAAAGTGCATATGACAAGTTTGTGTTTGTAAGTATGACTTGGTGAAGATGTTATCGCCTATTTTTATTAGTCTACTTTTTAGTAGTCTTTTGCCCCTTGTTAACACACCTTTGGTAACAGTTATGATATAAGCTCTTACTCAAACTAGGAAGTACGAGCACATAAGTCCTGTACTCAGGTCTTTGCACTGGCTCCTGTGGCTCAGAGACTTTAAAGCTGCTCTGTTTGTACAAGTCTCTCCATGGCTGAGCACCAAAGTACATCTGTGACATGTTAGTGTCATATGAACCATCTCGCATTCTGAGGACCTCAGGGACCAGCCTCCTGCTGGTGCCTAGAGTCAGGACTAAACAAGGGGAGTCACCGTTTCAAGTTCACTCAGCTAAAACCTGGAAAAGTCTTCCTGAACATGAGAGGTCTCTTCTTTGACGCAGGCTCAAAATGGTTCTGTTCACTGTGCATATGACTGAAAGGACTCTTCTCTCTAATTTATCTAATTAATATCTCTCTCTCTTTTAATTTAATCTTAAATTTTGTGATGATTTATGTTTTTATTTGTTTTTATTGTGATTTTAATGTATTTCTTATTCTGTAAAGCACTTTGAATTACTTTGTGCTATACAAATAAACTTGCCTTGCCGTGCCTATATGTCATATCAACTAGGAAGTAATGTTGTCTTCTTCTTTAACAAAATTAAATAAACTTTGATAAAAGCAGGGATTTTTTTTTTTTTTGTAAAATCTTATTTAAAATATAATTATGTTAACTATTTTAGTGAAAAAGTACTGTACCTCACTAACCTGTGATAAGCACAGCACTTTTATCAAGTCTGTCTTGTTTGTGTGTTAAACTCACTGATCGTTGAGCAGTTCACAGAGTGGATGTGAATGGGAACAGGGGGGTGTTGGAGTGGGAGCGCCACAGGGAATGTCTCTCGGAGCAGATACACACTTTGGCTTTTGGGGGTCTTCATAAATCCAGTCATAAGCTGTTTTGTCACAGCAACTGTCTTCTTCAATGTATCCCCCGGGCCGAATACAGGACTCACCTCCGCACACACCTGTGTAGAGAGTTCAGATTAAGTCATCATAAAATCATCATTATCATGCATTAGAGATATAAAGAAATGAATGATGCATTGTGGGATATGTGTTTCTAGAGTAGGATTACATTAAGCCAGGCCCGGTTCTAGCCTGCTGAATTTGGCTGAAAATATTGTATGTGGTATGTGTCTCTTCATCTCTTTATCAATCCATCTCTCTGTCTCTGTGTCACTCTCTTTTTCTGTCTCTCCGTCCGTCTCTCCCTCTCTCTCTTCATCCATAGAGCCTCCTCCTCCGTACCCACCACACTGTCCCTGTGTGTTGTAGCCAAAGTTCTCCATGGCCAGACTGATGACCAGAGAGAAAGAGGGCGTGAGGCTGACGTATGAGCGGATCTCAGGCAGGACCAGCGTCGTCACGTATCCCGTCGATTCAAACCTGAACCCAGGTTCTTCAAAAGGAACTTCTATGAACTCGCTGTTCAAAGATGCCTGGAGGACACAGTGGAAAGAGATTATATATATGTTTTAAATTAACTAATCTGGAGGTTGTGAGGACTTTTAATTGCAAGATTGCATTTATTTTACTGGGTGTCAATATGTTTAGCAACACATAACACGTCACTAACAAAATGTAAATAAATAATAGTGTCCATTAACCTAATTTTTGTAATATAATATGTTTATAATATATGTTAAGATTGTTTTGAGATGTTATTGCTTTGCCTTGAATGTTCCACAGTGTGGCGATAATCATATCTAGCTCCATGGAGACAAGCCGGTGACCAGGTACATGTCTGATGAGTGGAGCGGTGACCATGTTCACAGTAAGAACATCTAGTGCCATAGTGTGGATCATTCTACATACACAATAAAAGCTGGTTTAAAGGTTAAAGTTAAAATGTACACTTCTGAGCTTTTAGCCTTGTTATAATGGTGTTACCTCATCAAATACATACCCGGAGTTGTGTTTTGTTTCATTCATGTTCGAGTAATCCACATCTCAAACACCCAAAATTGTGTTCCACCTTGTGATGTCATGAAGTGATACTTACCTTTTAGTAAGTTTAGTAAGTTTTTTCAATTTATATAGCACTTTTCACAGGCATATGTCACAAAGACGCTTTACAGTTCATTATTCATTCCCTCCATACTTGGTGGTGGTAAGCTACTGCTGTAGCCACAGCTGCCCTAGGGCAGACTGACTGAAGCACAGCTGCCAATCTGCGCCATCAGCCCCTCTGACCACCACCATCACTCACACATACACCACTTTCATACTAGGCAATGTGGGTGAAGTGCCTTGCCTAAGGACACAACAGCAGTTTCTGTGACTGGCGCGCCCCCTGTGGCTGCTGATTTTCCCAGCGGTCTCCAATCCAAGTACTAACCAGGCCAGACCCTGCTGAGCTTCTGAAATCTGTCAAGATTGGGTTTTGACAACCTAGTATGGCTACCTTACCTTACAGTATTTTACCTTTAGTTCAGCAGAGACTGACAATCCTAGGGCTGAAATCATCCAAATGATTATAGTGAAGATGTATGGAAAAACACAGTGGATCACTTCCTTTATTACCACATGACATCACAAGGTGGAACAGAGTTTCAGTTTGAGAGAAGAGCTCAGCCTAAATATGCAGGATTTGTGAGTTAAACACGTGTGAATAAAACAAAACACAACTCATGGTGTGTTTTTGATGAGGAAACAACATAGATCAGAAAATAGCCTAATATGGGCCTTGTAAGTATCAGTTGTTCAATATCAAAAGAAGTTTAAAGTTACACAGGTCTACAAACCAGTTGAGAATTGCAAACTCAAAAACCAAGTCAGACCTGAACTACATATGAGTCAATGGAGAGCGTGGCCGTCTTTTCTTTATATTTGACTATCACACCCTTCACACAGGAGCCGTTCAGGCCTTCAATACAGAAGTAGTTGTCCACAGCGATGGTGAGGTTGTACTGAGGGAACTGTTCCTCCACCAGGACATATGTGCAGTCATCAAGGAAATCAAATGTTACGCCTCCAAATGAGATGTAGTGGGGGTCTCCGTACAGCTCACAGCGGCCTATAAGAAAGAGAGGCCATGAACATAAACAAGACAGACTTTAAATCAGTCCTATTTAATACTGAAAACAATCAAATTTATTTCTCTCAATTAAATAAAGAAAAATAAAATCTAAACTAAAAAATAAACTACACTAGGCTTTTTAAAAGCTTTTACTGACAGAGGATTGGCTGTAGATCTTTCATTTGAAAAGCATCAAGCTGATCATTAACGATTTTAAATGATTAGATCGTAGGATTGTATGAATGTACAATTTCTGATTTTAAAAGGCCAAAAAATACTCTTTCCAGTCTCTATTCATAGCTGTAGCTGAATGTAATATACATCTCTGAAAGGGATGCACTGATCTGATACCAAAACTGAAAAAATTCCAAACATGGGTTCAGTCAGTCAGTAGCCTAGTTGGTCATATAAATTGATGTAATAAGACTATCAGTATTTTGAGAGAGGGTGGGTGGAGAGCCCCTGCCTCATTTGGAGGAGTTCAAAGTATGTACATGAATGAGGGGAGGATGGATTGACTGGCGGATTGGTGCAGCATCTGCAGTGATGTGGTCACTGTATCAAACCGTTTTGGTGAAGAGGGAGCTGGGCTGAAAGGCGAAGCTCTCGATTTACTGTCAATCCACAATCCTCCCCTCACCTATGGTCATGAGCTCTGGGGAATGACCGAAAGGACAAGATTGCGGATACAAGGGGCCAAAATGAGTTTCCTCTGCAAGGTGGCTTGGCGCTCCCTTAGAGATAGAGTGTGGGGTGCCCCAGTGACCCAGCCCCGGATAAGCGGAAGAAAATGGATGGACTATTTAGTGGTCATAGTCGGGACAAAAGGACTCATAATATTTTTTTTATTTACAGACAGTTGTTCTGTAGTTACTAAGGGACACATAAAAGTTACATAATGCATTTGAATCAGTTTTAGTCTTATTTTAGTTTTTGTTTAAAGGATTTGTTTATCAGGTAATAGCAGATACTTTAAGCCATAGTATCAGAATCGGTATTGGAACTGAAAAAGCTGGATTGGGAGAAGTTCATGTATTCATACTCTCAGGTAGAGTTGGTTTGCTGCCCTGAGACAGAGGGAGGAAGCAGGAGAGCTAACCACTCTGCCGCTATGAAGTAATGCTGCTTGGGTCTTTATAAAGTAAAGCATTACAAAATACAAAATATTATAATTGTTTGTCAAAATACTGAGATACTAAGATTTTCAGATATTTTCTGCTTAGTTACATAGTACAAAGAAACTAGATAAGAGAGTGATGGCAGTGGAGACAATGGTGGCCTCCCATAGTCTATTGTTCTTCCCCATAATCTAAAAACAAGCTGAGCAAAAAACTGGTAAAACAAAATGATACTTTATACTTGTAGTGTTATCATAAACACATAGTAGTAAGTATATTCAATGTGTAATCAGTGTTTTTTGTTTTGTTTTTATCAGTAGAGGCAGTAAGCGACATTTAAACAACAAAATATTGTATACAATAAAATTATTGAAATACTGAATATCGCTTGTGCGTCCATAGTCTTAGCATTAACCTGTTGGAAACACTGTGTAAAATTTGGGTAAACTTACAGTCACACATTGGCCGTTCACAACATCCATCGGACACATTCACGATCAGACCTCTGGGGCAGTTGGGAGGGGAATATTCTGGACACGTCACTGGAGTAAGCTGCAGGACACTGTTAGTGCAGGTCACATAATTCACAGTCCTCTATCCAGGTCTCTCCACATGCCCACTTCTGCTTGGTCTTCAAGTTAACACACTCACAAGGTCCTACAGAGACGAATTATAGTATATAGTCACATATTTTTTTTGTGGATAGACCAACAATATTTCATAAACTATTATATTTTCCTAAACTATATCAGAATATCTCAGTAATTTCTATGTTAATGTATTTTGACTGCAGTGTAATACATTAGATATACATTCTATAATTATAAACTGTCTACACTGAGTATTTAAAATACATATAAAAAAAATGTTTTGTAAAATTTTGGTTAATTGTCATTCAAAAATAAACTTTTTCTGTATTTGGGTCACATCTTTAGCTAGGATTTTGGCAAAGGAGTACCAATGAGCCCACTACACGTTTTGGGTCAATGTGGAAAACCAAGAATGTTATTATTATTTTTATATTAAATAATTTGTAAAAAATATATACTAATGGTCATGCAAGAACTAGAATTTTTGGTAACATTATGAGTGTAATAATATTCTAAAATAGCTGAATTTCTGTGCTCCTGACTGTTAGTAGCATTTCAAACAACAAATTTAGTTAATTCTAAAAATGTTATGCAGATGTTGAAATTAAAACAAAACAAAAACAATTATCTTACTTTCTGTCGTTGGAGAACTAGTTGTGGTCCAGTTTGTAGTAGTTGTAGTACTTGCAGTAGTTTGCACAGTAGTTGTAGTAGTAGGCAAAGTTGAAGTACCCATAGTAGTTGGAATAATAGTAGTGGTTGGTACTGCTGTGGTAGTTATGATTGTTGTTGTAGGAGTTGTAGTAGTAGTTGAAGTAGTGGTGGGTACAGTTGTAGTAGTAGTCAAATTAGTGGGGGGTACAGCTGTAATAGTAGTTGAAGTAGTGGGGGGTACAGTTGTAGCAGTAGTTGAAGCAGTGGGGGGAACTGCTGTAGTAGTAGTAGTAGTAGTAGTAGTAGTTGAAGTAAAAATCCAGGGGGTTCCAATTATAGTAGATGAAGCAGTGGGTGGTGCAGTAGTAGTGGCTGAAATAGTGGGGGTACAGTTGTAGTAGTAGTCAAATTAGTGGGGGTTTATTTGTAGTCGTACTTGAAGTAGTGGTTGGTGCAGTGGTAGTTGTTAAAGTAGTGGGCGTGTTAGTTGTAGTAATTGAAGTAGTGGTTTGTGCAATAGTAGTTGGTGAAGTAGTGGGTGAGGTAGTTGTAGTAGTAGTTGAAGTAGTAGTTGGTGCAGTAGTAGATGATGAAGTAGTGGGTGGGGTAGTTGTAGTAGTAGTAGTTGAAGGAAAAATCTTGGGGGATACAGTTATAGTAGATGAAGCAGTGGTTGTTGCAGTAGTAGTTGAAGTAGTGGGGGATACAGTTGTGTAGTAGTAATCAAAGTAGAGGGGGGTACAGTTGTAGCAGGTGTGGCAGTAGTAGTAGTAGTAGTAGTAGTAGTAGTAGTAGTTGAAGTAGGGTTTAAGTTGTAGTAGTAGTTGAAGTAGTGGTCGGTGCAGTAGTAGTTGGTGAAGCAGTGGGGGGTACAGTTGTAGTAGTAGTTGAAGTTGTGGTCGGTAGTAGTAGTAGTGAAGTAGTGGGGTACAGTGTAGTAGTAGTTGAAGTAGGGGGTTTAATTGTAGTAGTAGTTGAAGTAGTGGTCGGTGCAGTAGTAGTTGGTGAAGCAGTGGGGGGTACAGTTGTAGTAGTAGTTGAAGTTGTGGTTGGTGCAGTAGAAGTTGAAGTAGTAGTAGAAATAGTTGTAGGTGCAGTAATAGTAGTAGTAGCAGTAGTAGTTGTAGTAGGTAGAGCCGTGGTGGAGGAAGGTGCTGTTGGGAAAAAAAGACAATAAGAGTTGGTTTGAAAAATGTAGTTAAGTTACATTAAGTTAAATTTCTGTTATTATTATTATGAGTGTATTTTTTAATTAACGCTTCATATAATCTTGACATGTCAATTATTTGGACTGTAGATCAGAGAAACATTTTTTAAAGCTGCATTATGTAACTTTTGATGTAACAGATGGAGGGTCTGTCAGTTGCTTGTCTTGGAGATGTTCTTATCTGGAATGTTCCACAGTATGGAACCGAACACATAATCTTGGATGTCTGTTTTAATTTTATCTTGACAAGCATGCGTCCTTGCCTTGCCTCTCCACAGACCTGACCTGTAACTTCTCTCCATGGACACAGACATGAACAGAGCCATACTGTGGAACATTCCAGGCAAAGCAATAATAGCTCTTACTGGTGACTAGTGCTGATTTATTCTTCATCAGAAATACTGTACAGCAGAGGTGGAACCAAGTCTTTGTTTTGCAAGTCTCAAGTAAGTCTCAAGTCTTTGAACTCAAGTCCGAGTCAAGTCCTAAGTCAAATACTTGCAAGTCCAAGTCAAGTCTGGCCAATAAGTCCAAGTCAAGTTCAAGTCATCTGCTTTGAGCTTCAAGTCATTTCAAGTCTTTAAACCAAAGTACTTAGACTTTTGCAATTTATATGAATTTTAAGATAAATTGCACTTAAAAAGCCATAGTGTATTTATATATGAGTATTTACAAAGTATATAAGAGTTATAAAAAATAATTTAGTTAGTTAATTTTTCCTTTTTAAATGTATTGACAAGATCTTAGTGTGAATCATTACGGTCAGAATAGAAAAAAAATCTGATTTAAAAGTGCTTTTCAAGTCTTCTGAAGTCACAGGCCTCAAGTCCGAGTCAAGTCCCAAGTCACTGACCTTCAAGTCCAAATCAAGTCCCAAGGCTTAGTCCATTTCATCAAGTCAAGTCTCAAGTCCTGAAAATAGTGACTCAAGTCTGACTCGAGTCCAAGTCACGACTTGTAAGTCCCCACCTCTGCTTTAGAGCAATATTGTTTATGTTAGAATTTGGATTTGGAGTTAAGGTTCTGAAAGAGCAGAATAAGCCTCACATTTGGGCTTTCAAATGAGGCCAGGTGTGTCAATATACTGAGAATAACTTATTATTGATTAAATTATTTGTTCATTTAGGATCTGGCAACCCTCCATGCTGGCAACCCAGGTGAAGCTGTGATTGTATGTAGCTCTTAAAAAGCACTACTGTTCCTTTAAATGACATACTTCATAAAAATATACTTACTACACTTAATTTTTCCATTCTGACAGTTGCTACAAAGCACAAAATAAGAAGTTTAGCAGTTAGCTTCTACTTTTACTTTCTTCAAATTTCTGATACATTTGTAATCACTTACCATTCTCTCAGATCTATTAAGACCCTGGTCCCCGGATCTAGGACAGTCCCATTGAAATAACAAGTACAGTTTCGCAAATCTGTGCATTTTCCAGTATGTTCATCATAATACGGCTTCTCTTCAGGGCATCTGGGATAACAACCTTTGACATAATTTTACAGATGTCAGTGTAATATTATAACAATATTCCTTCTTTAAAACGTTACTGTTTGACACATTAAAAACTATGAATTATTAAATATGGTTTGGCATTTCAAGCCTTTGTACCTTCTAGTTTATAAGTAAAGTCTTCGTCTTGGCCACAGGTGAGCAGTTGACCACAAGCTTGATAGTGCCACACACACTGGTCGTGCTCATTGTAGTAGTCACAGTACACCGCTGAAGAGAAATAAAAATACTTGGTCAGTGTTAATAGTGTAAACTTGGTTTCTATAGTTAACAGAAGTACACTTTCCAAATGCCAAACCAAATGCCAAAAAAAATTGAATATAATATTTCCTTGTATTAAATCAATCATTACTCCAATGCGTGCCTGAGCAAATTTAACTCCAACAATGTGGGCCAAAAAATGCAAATATGAAATATGGGTGTGATTCTTGGTTATCTGCTGTGTGTTATCAGTGCCATTTTGAGGAATTTAACTTTAAAAATATGGGAAACAGCCGTCTTTATTCAAGGCAGCGGTCACTAGAGGCTGCAAATATAACTATTGACTAAAAAGACTAGGGACAGTAGACAGTACTAGTCAAACACTACACAGTTAGCAAAAAAATGTTTTTGATGTTTAGTTCCACTGTAATTGTTAAAGATAAATAAATCACACTCACGGCATAGATCAGGAGTTCTCCAGTCCACACAGACGTCCCAGTGGCTGCAGGCCTTCGGCATAAGCGGCGACAGCGGTACAGAAGCCCAGAAACCTCCCCTCAAACTCACACGAGCAAGACTCCTGCACACAGGCCTGGTAGTACGGCTCTGGGTCCACCTGAGAACAGAACATAGACACATTTTAAAGGTGCATTGTGTAATTTTTATGGAGGAAGGTCCGGCAAATGCTCTTCTTCTTGGAGATGTTACTGCTTTGTCTGGAATGTTTCCCAGTATGGCATTAAACCTTTGTATCTTCAGAGACCAAACCAGACCAAGTTGCAGGTCAAATCTGTGGAGAGGCGACCCCGTTCACAGTTGAGAATGCCTGTTTTTCTAGGTATTTTTGAGCTATAAAACCACCTGTAATTGAATAAACGTAAACGTAGAGCTGTTTAATGCCATACTGTGGAACATTCCAGGCAGAGCAATGACATATCCACAGAAACAAGCAGGTGACAGACCCTCAATCAAAAAGTTACAAGAGAAATTCAGATTTTGGGGGGGTTAATTAGTAATCAGATATGTGCAATAATAAATTAATTGCTTTGTGTTGCATTTTTTTGTATGAAAAGTGCTCTATAAATAAAGTTTGATTGATTGATTTTACATTTTGTTCATTGTAAACTGTAAAATTTAAATGACTTATAATGTAGAAGCGTCCACAAATGTACAGTTCAAAACAAAATAGACACGCTGCTCATATATTTTGAAGGTCAAAATGAGACTGCTGTGTGCTGTCTGCATCTTAATATAAAGCGTTTTACTGTCTAAGACTCAGGAAGTGCACTGTTAGCATGCTAGATGTTGGTAATGTTTATCGTTCTCTCCACTTTGGCCTCTGACAGTTGTGAAAAGCCCTTATAATCTCATCTCAGTGAATAATCAGGACTTTGGACTACTGCCAACAGTTTAAAATAAGCTAATTCTATTTTTCATGTTTTTAAAATAATAAAAACAGTCCATTTAAGGCAAAGAATAATCATATAAAACTTTGTACTTTAAGATGACAGTCTTTGAACGTGTCTCCTGTAATGATCCGGCAGCGTCTTTGGGCCCAGGCTCCACAGTACGAGTTTCGTTCACACGGAAATATCTCCGTCGTAACATCAGAACAGGGAGGGGAGGGGCTCTTCCAGCTGTTCCCAAACACCACCGGAGTCAACGCCACTAAAACAAACAAACAAACACAGTTACTCACAATGGTAAGATAACAGGCCTGTCATGATAAATACTATATCAACTTATCAAGCTGGAACAATATTTGGGGCTAAATATTTATTGCCCGCACAATTTCTTTGCAAAAGTCGGGAGATTTTTGACATTTATGAGATAATATATAGACGTAAACTTAGATTTACCTGATGAATCCTTTATTTGAAGATCATTCATCTCATTGGAGTCAAAGTTCCCACAGAGGCCACACACCTCTTTCTGTGGAACAAAAAACAGTAGTACAACAGGTGTAAAATATGCCCAAAATACACAAAATATACAAGCATGTATGTATAAATGAAACAAAACAAACACAGAAAAATTAAAAGCAAGGATCTATTTGGGCAACAAAAGTTTTAAAAGCCTTATTTAACTGGGGTATTGAAAAAATATGTCTAATTAACAAAGTTTTCCTCACCCTCCATTGTGGCTGCAGTTCTATTGTGATCCAAGTGTGTTTGTCCCAGATCAGAGTGATGCCTTTAGTGGGGACAGTTATAATGATGTAGAGACCCACTGTTTGAATTGTGTACGGAGGACTGTGTTGGAGCAGGGCACTGTGGACCTGCTCCGTCACTTTCATGTCACTAAGAGAGAGGCTGAAATGGTCCTTCAAGAAAAAAATTATCACATTGAGGCCTTAACTATCGTACAATGAAGAGGTTGTTGAAAAGTACTTACTTTGACATCCAGCACAATTGATCGAGAACAAGTAAGGGCCTCGTCACAACAGGGAACACTTTCAACTCGGACAGAAAATGTACCATTTCTCCTGCCACAGTCATCCTATAGAAAATAATTAACTTTACTTTCACGTTGTTAGAGTATCATTGTCACATCTCATACACTGGGACTAGAGAAGGATTAAACCCTGACTAGAACACGACTGCAAGTCAAGTCTTCATCATAACTAAACTAGGCTCAGGGGGGCCTGATGTCCATCAGTCTGCCTCATGGCAGCTGTGGCTACAGTAGTATCTTACCATCATTGAGTATGGAGTGAATAAATAATAACTACAGTGTAGCACTTTGAGCGGCTTTGACAGGCCAGTAAAGTGCATTACAAGTGTAAGGCAAAATTATTCTGAAGAAAGCTTTGACGTATAATTGTAAGGTTGGAGGTTAAATCCCAGTAACCAGTCCAAGCATTACCTTATATGCCTATGTGCATAAGGTCAGTAGGAAAAGGCAAAGAATTATTGAAGAAAGAAGAAATTAAATTTGTGTGTGGTTGAAGTTGTCGTATAATTGTAAGGTTGGAGGTTATAATCCAGCAGTCTAACCAGTCCCAAGACACATTATATACCTATATAGGCATATAGGTCAGTCAGTAGGACCAAGGCAGTTGTGCAGCTGTGGACAACTAGCTTAGCTCAGACTAGATCACAGAGAAAAAATTTGTATAAAGTGAATAATCTAAATATAAAATCCTATGTTCTTACCTTGACTAATGTGTACTGACAATGACCATCAAAGCGAAACCATTTGGAGTCAAAAGTCTGATAGTGTCCATTCCCAAAAACTTGACATGTACTGGAGCACAGTTCATCTGTGCACTGCACTGCCACTGGCCATTAGAGCACACACTGAAAAATACATACATTTTTGCTTTAATTATACATCGTATTTATTAGGTTTATTTGGCATCAGAAAAATTCAAAACTACTCATAGTTTAACATTGAGCTGGAGGACAGGTCAGAATAGTATGGTAGAATTTGCCTTTTAACTCTCCAAATGCAGATGTTTTGATTTGCTTTATGGTTAATATCACTCAAATTATCCTCTTGATGAAACAAAAAAGTGTCACAAATTGCTAAATTAATGTCAATGTAAAGTTGTAATGTGTGCAATGTGTGTGTTAATGTTGATATTTTTTTCAGTAGAATATATATTATATATTTTTTTTTTTTAAGTAAAAACAAACGAGTTGATCAAAACTGATTTTAGATCACAATGAACCTATGATGAATACTGTACTGAAAACTGTAAATTGTATAAAAAATTAAATTTTTTCACTGTTGTATTAACTATAGAAGGTCCTTTTTTCAAACATTATAGTATGATTGATTGTTGTCAGATGAAATGACTTTAACTACAGAAGGACGAAAAAATTTAAATGGGAACTTTGTGAACTGAACTGAACCCATAGAATAATACAAAAGCCACTGTCCTCCATCAGAAATGATAAAATGTTTAATTATGAATTGAACCTATTGCCTTAGAAATATCCTTAAACCCTGTAGCTGTAAACACAGATTAGTACCATGATGTACAGGAGCTCTTGACGGTCTCTCCTGCATTATAAACTTTTCCACTGTAGGAGCAGGTGCAGTTGTCCAAAGGCACACAGTCTCCATGATGATTCTCAAACTGGTCAACCGGACAGTAACAGCCGCTCTCACAAGAAGAAGTCTGGAACATTAAAAGGCAAACATTTAATCAATATAATTAAAAATCAAGTATTCATAATAATTTCTTTATTAACATCAGTTGAACTTAGAGGTGGGAGACATAGTGAAAATGTAACAACAGCAAAATTAAGTATACTCTCTGCATTAAAAACTATAAAACGAGATTGAAAATACAGTTCATTCATGTTTTTTCTGCGATATTTCATCTTTACCCATGACATTTACCAGCATCTTTTAGCTAATATCCGATGGTTTGCCATACAATGATTATGATATGATTATGATCAAAATAATTTGGACAATCGGACCCATCTGTACATTTCATAGAAATACCAAGAAACATCGTAAGTATTTTACTGATACAACTGAGTTGCAAAATATTAAAATCCATATATTTAGCAGTCTAATACCTTTGCTAATACTTACTGTGGGTTTGCTGAGACTGCCACAGGTTTTCTGAAGAGTGTTCACTTTAAAATCCGAGCAGTGAACACAGACTTTCCCATTTGTGCATCCTGATGAAAGTTATTTTAAAAACAACATAAAAAAAAAGCATTTATCATAATTGCAAAAGTATAACAAAAATCTTCTAAAGCATGTATGAGAGTGCATATGATTTACCACAATCATCTGAACACTTCAATTCTCCATCTTCACAAAAACTGCAAAACAAACAGATCACTAGTCATGACCAGCTACAAGAAAAAACTAAAAAAAAAAACACGGTGACATAAAACAGCAACAGTTTATATGTAGTTTATTTTTTAGTATCTAAAAATTAATACACATTTTTTTTGCTTTTAAGTCCATGCTCAGCTCACCACTGTCGCCCGTCGATAACAGCAGGCCCGGGGGGTGTGGTGCCTCCGTTGTAGTGGCACTCGCACTGAGACTTGGGGCTGCAGATGAGATCTTTGTTCAGGTGGGTTCCTTCAGGACATCCACAGCCCTCCACTGGAGCATCCTCCAGCAGACAGCACAGGTCCAGGGCCTGACAGGGACCGACAGGTGCTGTTACAGGCCACAACGTTATAGGAAAACTCCTGGTTCCCCGGGCACTCCACCGCTGCAACACAACAACACAGAGAATTTAAATGATTAAGAATTAGAGAACACTCAACTACAGATCACATGATCTGCTATAAGTACAAATTTGTAGTGCTAAATAAATAACTACATTTTACAGTGGGATAAATGAGTTTGCCCTTTTTCTTGTCTATGTATTCCACAGAATTCCTGTATCTTTTGGAAGATTTTGTTCTTTGCATTAGTTTTTTTTTATACATTCTTCAACAACACATAATTAAAACTGGACCTGGACTAGACCCTGGCTAAACTTGGACCAAACCGAGTCAACATCAGAACTAAACTGAGCTTAAACTACTTGGATATTGTGCAAGGAGCTAGCTATGGGCCATTAAGAGTAAATGTGGCAGAAAATGTAGCAGAAGACCTTCCAGAAGAAATACTTCGAAGGAATGATAATTTCATCACACTTAGACCAACGAAACCGATGTTGGGAAAACCATACCAGCAGACAGCCGAGTAGAGCCAAAAGATGGAAAGGCTTAGACAGAGAGACGGAATGTTAGAGCTCCACACTGATGAATAACTCTCATCTGAACTCACGGACAGTCGATTACCTCGTGACACTGATGAGGACTACCTCTCGCCCTTGTGATTTGCTGGCTAGCAGTGACAAGCACGAGCAGCTACGAGAGATAACGGACTTGGAGCGCTCAGTGGGATCGGAGCCATCAGCGCGTTGGGAAGTTTAGGTGGACTTCACATTAAAGTGGAACATTACGGAGAGAGCGAAGAGTTACAGACACGATTAGCAAACTCTTCATCGTCCGAAGAGGAGGGAGGAGAAGAAGAGGAGAATTTAAACGAGCAAGAATCAGGTTTACAAGAGTGTGAGAGTAAACTCCAGAAACGCCGGAAACGCAGGAAATCTCAGCAGAAGTGGGAACGCAGTCGCAGGATTCGCTTGTCCACGGATTCTCCCAGTCCGATTCCTTTGGGCGAGAATGCCACGTTAGCGGAGAATTTAGCGACTTCGGCTAACTCTCCGACGAACTCCACAGCGATGTCAGCTTCCTCTGTGCTGAAAATCAAAACGGAAATGGCAGAACCGATAAACTTTGATAACGACAGCAGCATTTGGAACTACCCGCCGAACCGGGAGATTTCCAGGAATGAGCCGCCGTACAGCATGACGGCGAAACCAGCGTCAACGAACAACAACGGAACGCCTGAATCCTTCCCGTCGCCGCAGGGCCAGAGCGTCGCCATTCCGGACTCGGTGCTGACTCCGCCCGGGAACGACGGAGGGGGCGGAGCTACTGTGCGGAAAACGGCAAGCTTTAACGGTAACTCCACGCCATCGTCTTCAGCGAGCGTGACAAGTTTAGCTCCGCCCTCCAGCGTGTCCTCTGCAGATCCGCTGTCTCCGCCTCTATCGGCGTCTCCGCGGGACAAGCAGCAGACCACGCCCACTACGTCCTCCACCAGCCCCGCCTCTTCCTGTGCGAGCTCCGCCCCCTCTTCTTCTGGCCCCGCGGTGCTGTACTCCGGAGACCTGGAGGCGCTGCAACGACTTCAGGCCGGAAACGTGGTTCTTCCTCTGGTGCACCGAGTGAGTGGGACGCTGGCCCCGACGAGTACCAGCGCCCCCAGAGTGTATACCACCGGGACTATCAGGTATTTACAGATGACAATATAAACTAGTATGTGTTAATAGCACTTATTATTTTCATTACTGTTTATTAGGGATGTAACGATATCCAAATCTCTCGGTACAATATTATCACGATATGCATCTCACGGTACGATATTTATTGTGATATTTTGGAGAGGCTAATTTCTGCTTTTAAAATACCTTGACAAGTGTGAAATTTGGTGTGAATTATTTCCGTCATAATCCCAAAAATTCAAGTAAAAAACATATTTCTTCATGTTGTCTGCACTGAAATGAATCATGGGATACGTAGTTTTCGATGTTCATAAGCTGTTGCTAACAGGAACTTGTGATTTGATATATTGTAACAGTCCACAATATTATTGTGAGACTTTTGACGATACAATATCACAATATTTTGTTATTGTTACATCCCTATTTATATCTCCATGGAGAAAAATACATTTGACTGACCCTCCACCAGAAAAGTTACACAATGCACCTTTATATTTACCAATATAAATGTACCTATAAGGTATGTATACTTATATACATGTATACTACATGTATACTTGTATACAGTATGTACTGTAATACCACTGTGTGCTGGGACTATACCACAGGAACCCTCAGGTTTAATATATTACACTGATATGAATATATATGAAGTAATTACATAAGTGTCACCAGTACAAACAGTTTACATGGATCATTAATGTACAGTATGAGTGTTGGCCCTAACACTGACCCTTGTGGAACCTCACCTGTAATATTTTGATACACAGATTTGTATCAGCCTGCCCAAACTGCTGCCTGTTTCCCAAAGAATTCTTCAACCAGTTTACTGCTATTCCCCTGATGCTGTAACCTTCTGGTGTTTTATTTATTTATTTTTTTTGTATTAACATTTGCACAAATACTAACAGAAATATCAATATAAACTCTTTCTCCTGCCCCTCCTCCTGGCTCCTCCCTCCTCCTGGCTCCTCCCTCCTCTTGGTCCCTCCTCCTCAGGTACGCTCCGGCCGATGTGACTCTCGCGATGGCGCAGGGAAACCTTTTGCCGAACGCCGCGGTGAACTTCGTGGACGGCTCTGGTTTTGGTCTGGACCCGAAAACGCCGATGGAGATGCTGTACCACCACGTGCACCGGCTCAACATGTCTGCAGCCGCCGCTGGGCCATTTGTGGGCGCGAGTACGAATCCCGCCTCCGGGCAAGTCACGACGGCCGAGGGGCTTTTCTCCTCACTGCCTTTTCCTGTCTACAGCAACGGCATCCACGCCACGCAGGGCAGCCTGGAGCGCAAGGAGGACTGAGTGTGCCGGACTGTGACTGTGCCGGACTGTGACTGTCCGGACTGTGCCTGTGACTGTGCCGTCTCTGCTGACCGTGCTACTGTGCCAAAACCAGCCCAGGACTCAGACAGACAGGTGCGATAAGGAGAGGCAGGGGGCGCTATGGAGCAGAGTTTAAGACCAGAAAAATGCATTAAATCTGCAGTAGTTAGTTCAGTCCTCCAGCTGAAGGGGTCACATTCTGTAACTTTTTAAAGTACTTCTGGATTCTCCAACTTTGACCTTTTAATGTTCAAACTTCAAAATAAAAGGGCACATTCCTGACATGTATTTTTTTAGGTTTTTCAGGTCAGGAAATTGCCTTTTACTTCAAAAATCAATCTTTAAAAACAAACATTTATGAAAAAATACAAAACAAAAAACAGACCTTTTGCTGGACAAGAACCATGTGGAAGCAGCTGTCCCAGACACTTGTGTTAAACTGATGCAGAATAATACAGTTAGTTGTGTAGATTTGATGTCTTCTTTTGGCCTCTCTGCTCCTCTCTCCCAGTTCTTATGGTTCTCGTGGCTCTGTTCGGGCTCTGCCTTGGTTCTGTCTCAGTCCTGTCTCAGGTCTCTGGGTCTGGGCTGGTTTCCACAAAAAAAGACTCTAAAAAATGAATGATGATATTTCTACACTTGGTGCAACCCGGAGTTCCGGTTCAGTTCCGGTTCAGATCCGGTTCAGATCCGGTCAGATCCGGTTCAGATCCAGTTCAGATCCGGTAATGGCGTTAGGACAGACGACGGATGTAAAACTCAAGCACTTTTTGGTCTGGAGTTTGGTGATTCGACTGTGAGCTTTTCTAACCTCTTCATAAACTAACACAAACTGCTTTTGCCTTCAGAGAATTCCCCGGACTCAGCGAGCGTGGGACATTTACATATTTTTGTTTTTGTGTCGCCATGGAGACACAGACATGCGTATATAATGTGGGACTTTCCCCTCTTGATGTGATCAAGGCTCGAAAAAAGACTTTTTTGAACCGGGAGGCAATGAAATCTTTACAAAAGGTTTTGGGACATTTGTGGAGGAAAGTGCAGAGGAATATGGCTATTACTATGAATATTTTTGTTTTGTTTTTTATAAAATATTGTAGCTTAGATTCAGAAATGAAGAAAATATAAAAAGCAATTCCAGCCGGTGGCGCTGTGATCTCGAATGTTAAATCTTCTTCCTGTTTCCGGAGATACACAGGTCCCTGAAGGAGCAGCGCTGAGAGGTCAGAGGTCAGAGGTCATACACACTATGTTTAAAAAGAGGGCAGATTAAAAACTATTACCATTTTTTTTTATAACTG